GATCCATCCAACATATCGGAAACCTTACTTTTTTTCAAATAGTTGGCCAAAGACTGGACAAATATATTAAATGCAAGAATTTCAATCTAAATGTGTCAGCAAGATCTTCTGAAGGCGTAAATTTTGCTACTGAAGCATCGCCAAAGATCTTGCAATATCCATCCACTCTCTGCACAGTGGCAAGTGGCGAGTAGTGCGGTGTTTTGAGAGTGACATAAAGCAAACAGAACTTGATTTGTGCATACGGTATTTTTTTAAAGCCATTCATTTTTTGCTACGTCCTTGAGGGGACCGGCTACCCTCCGGAAAAACTTGTACAGTTATTACCCGATCATCATGAAACTTCACATACATACGTAAAATGTAAAAAAATAACATTTTGCTCGTACGAATTTTTCAAAAAAATTGATAGAAAATGTGAAATTCATAGAGAACAACTAAAAAGGGGGTACTTTAGAAAATCTATCTCCTCCTACAAATATCATCCAACAACATCGAGACACGTATCATTCGATTCGTAAGGACCATACATATCGATTTGATGATCATTTTTCTCATTTCCCCCTTAGTTTTTTTTTAAGTGTGTTTTATCCCATTTTTCTTATTTTCCCCCTTCCCCCATTTCTCCCCCATATAAAAAACAAACCAAACAGAATTAAAAAAAATGATCATCAGTTTGATAGGTATGGTCTTTATGAATTGAATGGTATATATCTCATTGCTGTAGCTTGAAAACTGTAGGAGGAGATAGGTTTGCCGTGAGATCAATAGGAGGTTTTCACCATGCCCAAAAAACCCAAAAAACTGCTGGGCGGCACATATAAACGGTAAAATGACGTAAAGAGTCAAAATGTAGCCAAGTAAGCCAACATACCGTAAGTAAGCCTCAAACCAAGTCAGGAAGGCATAGAGCAACTGGCTGCACACCTCTCACCTCGCTGTCATGATGGGCACCGACTGTTTTGGCAACAGGAGGCTGTATTTATGGTCCCGCCTTTGAATTACTCTCATAGGGATTATTGAAGGCCGCCCACTACCGCCCTCTGTTTGATGTTACGTTGCATTTGTAAAAATTCACCTAGAAAGATGATTCTGGTACCGTTTGACGCGTCAAAAAGTAAGCTTTAAGATGAGTATAAGCACCGGATAATGCCATAATTACTGCTTTACATCAGACGTTCCTTTTTAGTGTGTCCAGCCTTCAAATTAATCCCATAGACTTTACTGAAGGGCCCTAAAACAGACCCCCTTTGGGGAGCTGTCACGAAATCATTTTTTGATGTAGAGGGATGATTCTGGTACCGTTCAATGCGTCAGAAAGTAAGCTTTAAGATGAGCACAAAAACCGGAAAACCCCAAAATTGAAAATTTTAGGGTAGCCAGTCCCCTTAATGAGTTGGAATATACCGCATTTACCCTACTTGTGTTGTGTACTGTGAAAGCCTAATAAGTTAATTCAGCACAAGTATGAAAATTTAGTAGGTGACCATGACTGTACGTCTTTCACTTTCAGTTTCAGGAAAGTAAAGTTTTGATAAGGCTTTGCTCAGCAAGATTCCAACTTTATCAATAATAGCCTAGGCTAGGGTAAACGTGGTATATTCCGACATCGTGGGTAATTCCGTCACCTCTCTAGTTTTTCCTTTATATTAAGCTTTGTTTTAGTTCCATGCGTTCGTTGATGGTTGAAATGGTGACGTCATACATTTGTGCATTGAACTAATGCCAAAACACTAGGTCTTGGCCATCTAGTGGGAAAATATTGAGATCCAAAGAGAGACAATGCACACTACCCAGTGAGATCATCGAAAAAAGTGTCAAATTTGACAGTTGACCTTGCTCTACCAAATAGTGAATAACTGTTTTTATAGGAAGAATATTATGGTTTGAGACTTTTAAATACGTCTGTGAATACATTAGGAATCCTTTATGTATACTTGTATTCGCTGATTTCAAGTCGTAAATAAATTAATAGATGATTAAGTTAAGAAACGGATTTAGACACATGAAAACTAATTCCGACACAACTTGAATTGGACACACACAGATCGTTCCAACTTCCAAGGCCTAAACTTTGTACAAAAATTGAAATTTGCTTAATTAAAAGCCTAATAGTTGTTAATTAAAACGTAATTAAGTAGTGTTCAATATTCGTTAGTGTTCTAATTCAAAGCCATGTTGTATCCCAATACAGCTCACACAGCAAACGGAATTCGAACACGTGTATGTCGGCATTACGTATCAGTTAAATTTGAAGCGCTGACGCAATACGACTCACCACGTGTCGAATATTGCCACACACAGTGACATTGTTTGTTTGTTGTTAACATTGACAACGAAAATTAGCCCACTTCTGATTGCTCTAGAGATCTGAAATTTGGCATGCAGGCTATTTTCGCCTAACAATTTCAGATACAATCATAAAAACTAGCAATTAGAGACCTAAATTAGCTTAATTGAGTAAAGTATATAGAAATAGTATATACATACTGTATATAGTATGACGTGCGGGCGCTGACGTTATAGACGAGCAGGCGCTTACGCTGCGTATCATTGATACGTACGTCAAGGCAAGTAAATTGGCTCGCAACAACGTTTTTCATGTGTAGCAACAAACTAAAAAGGAGAAAATAAAATACTTAAAAAAAAACTTTTTAAAAGACCACGTTTTTCTTGTGGACTAAAAAGTAGAAAATAAATTGTGGCTCGCTCCAAAAATTTGGGTCGGGCTGTACGTTCACCATCAAATTTCCAAAATTCGAGTGTCATGTGCTTTTCGCTTTAATCATAAATCTGCCCAACACACGTTTCTGGAGCGAGCCCCAATTTATTTTCTACTTTTTAGTCCACAAGAAAAACGTGGTCTTTTAAAAAGTTTTTTTTAAGTATTTTATTGCATGTTTCAATTCAAGTTTAATTTAGCTAGTAAGAAAATGGCATCATTTATAAGAAAAAAAGTGGTCTAAGTTACCCCATTTTACGGTATCTAATTTTTTTCTGATCAAATTTGCATAACTACAAACTGCCTCTAATCTATTACTACCAGATATTTCTCTAACATCAGAGTAAGCAAATTATTCTGCATATGCTGTCAATAATGCTGATTAGTGATTATAGTTACATGCATGAAAATATTATTTTTACTTACCTTGACTTTGAGTTGGAGAAAAGGAGAGGTACTCTAGTCTCTAACTCTGAGTGCTGCACTATGCAGTGCGAATGTGACACTGACAGACTCACAGACACAGAGACAGTGCCAGTGGCGACACAGCCGACACTGAGTCACTGACAGCGACACAACTGCTGTCTACTGATACAGTTCGGGATTCGGAATGGGGGTTTAGACAGTCCTTCAGGCTTCAGCAGTCAGCACTGCAAAAATAACATTAATCACTAATTTTGACCACACTCAACAGCTGGTTGCCACAAGTAAGTTCAAGTTCATTACTACTGAGGTCTGAGAGAGTTAAAGTTTTCTGTCTCTCATATCACTGTCAGAGACTTGTCTAGACGTCTCTTGCTTCAGTTCTGTTTCAACTCTCAAATCTCACAGACTCTCAAAATACCATTCCATTTGAATGATTAAATTTTGATTTCTCTGCCTTAATTAAAAAAACTATAATTTAATTGTTAACTAAATACTAATTATTCATTAAATAATTACTAATAATAGCATAATGAATTTAAATAAAAAAATTGATAAATTAAAATATGTAAATAAATTTATTATTTATTTTCCTATTAGCAACCTTGTAATAAGTTCGTGGCTTGTAAATAGTTCGTCATTACTCAGCGTAAATGGCTTTTCATTAAAAATTACCCGGCGACGCATCTTTAAAATGGCCGGCGACGCTTTGGGCTTAAAAATCCATATATTGCCGACGCTGCATCCACCCTCTGCATAGTGGCCTAGGCTATACCTACCTACCTACTGACTGTGACAGTACTGCGATTCTTTATATCATTGACAGTTTATCAGTATCATAGTATGACATCATGAAATTATCCACTATCCTACAGGCTACAAGTACAATGAAAGAATTCTCAGTCACTCATAAAATTCAAGCATTAGCTTTGAGCTCGTTTCGCCATTTAAGCATAAAGCCGTGGAGTTTTACAGAGGATGAAATGATTTCGTAGCATTGTTCAATTTTTACGATTCGGCGTCGCCGACTCCTATTCGGCCTCAAATCTCAATATAGTCAGTCATCTCAATTTATTGCCAAATTCCCAACCCCATGATGCACTTCCCGCTCCCGGGCCCTGTCAAAATCATACAGAACTAAACAACAGAAGGTGGCTCACGCCTCACGTCACTGACAGCGTCTTCGTCGTCGGCGGCCAACCCATCTCAGAACCATAAGCCTTTACTCAACGTTCTACAAGGCATAACAGAAATAACAAAGTAGATTTCAGTTGGGTACAAGTCGGTATGTAATTATTACAAAAAGCTAGGCTTGTCAATTGCACTCATATGATCACTTTACTCAAGGAAATATAAAACAATCAGCGCCTGTGGATTTTATTACTCCTGTGAGGCTGTGGGTACTGGGTAACAATGTTACCCACAGGAGTAGTTTTCTATGAATAACTCTAGGAGTAACTTACTGATTGTTAGTTGAAATGGATTCTAAAATTTTTATTATTCAACAAAAAGCGATGAAATATGACATTAAGATTGGATATATATGTATATATTTGAAAAGTGATTATCATCTTTTATAAATCAAATTTGCTATTACAATCATTTTTTAAATAAATGCAAACAGTGTTGCATGATCGCTCAAATAATCTTTCTTGGAAAGTTTTCAAATGAAAAATAATTCAAGATTTTTCTTGAAGATCGAAAATTCCAAATAATCATCTTCATATAATATACGAATGATACATACTTTTAAAATATTATTGCAAAGTGCTTCCACGGTGTGCAATTAAGATAGGGCAGTTTCTCTTCTGACTCTTCAGCTCCAGTGACGAGTGGTTTGTATTTGTGTGAGAAAGTGAAGGGTGGTGCGGTTGAGTTGCCCTAAAGACCTAGTTTTTACTTTCTACCTAACTTGGGGGCCTGCGCTCCCTCATGTCACTGAATTGTGCCGCAAGAGAAGACTCCTCGTGCTGTTGAAAGTGTTGTATCATGAGCGTTATACAGAAAGCCAAGGGAAGCAGGTATATTGAAGAGAAGGAGCCTAGCCGTGCTGCAACCTCGGCGACGCAAGTTGCTTCCACCACCAGAAGTAACGATGTTATGCTGCTACTCGGACCTCTCATGTCTGGCGGAACCAATTCACGTAAAGATATATCCATTACGTCAAACGATCATGTTAATGGCCATGAATATGCTCGGGAAATTAACGGTGTTTCGACTTTCCATTCATTGAGTTATTCGGATGAACCTCGCATTTCTGAACTAAAAAACGGTAACTGTTATACGCCTCGACATGGGATTGATACGAAGTACGAAACTAACAGTGTTCATAGTTCTCAAAGTGCAATCATTTATACGACAGAAAATGAAGTTTCTCGTCATTATCAATCTGAAGCTTCCACTAATAACATTGAAAAAGCTGATATATTGACCCACTCGTTGGTTACGGCAAATGCGCTAGACGATGATAACATGAACGCAAAAAATGATCCTGTTTTAGATCTGTCGACCCAAGAGTCTCATATATTTACTACTGACGGAATATCCATGAATCTTACTGACATGGTTGCTTTCGAGCTAAGCGCATCCGAGGACCATAATTCGAATCCTGACATAATGTCTGTTGTGACAACTCCAATTGCTGGACATGGACCAGACGCTTCCTTCAGTAATGTATCTGAAGATCACGTCTACTCCCCCATCATTGATCCCGTAGAAGCAGACAGAGTCTCTTTGTGTCATGAAGACTACTACCGTCATTCTCACGAACCTGCTTGTTGTACACCCTCTAGTTCTACGGCTCATTCCTCTCCTCTACCCATCCCTCTTCCCCGCGTTGCTAGCCGTGCTGAGTCTCTCACTCCTACCGACACTCCGGCTCATCGACAGACGGACTGCTCCTCATCCCTCCACCTCCGCACCCCTTCTCCACCCAGAGCCGCACCACCCCAGTCGCCTCTTAGTGACTCCTGCTCCCCACAACCTGCGGATGTGTCGCCAGATTCTCAAGGTATGGAAAAAATGTTCATTAAATTTTAGTTTTTGGCTACCGTTACGTGATGGTGAGTAATAAAACTCTCAATTTTTGGCGAGCTGTGAGACGGCAAGTAAGTGCTGATTTTAAGGAGTTCATCTAATAAACAAACGCACGAACTCGCTCTTCGGTAAGCGACCTGTTCATGATCAGGTGCACACGGCCACGCACAGAGCTGCTAAAGTTATCTCAATTGCTTATCTCTGACATCTCTATTCAATGCTTACCGGTTCATCTATGTAAGAAAACATGCAGCTTATCAACTATGCTTATTGTGGCTAGCATTAATTGCGTTGTTAGTTGCATCGGCATTGCTGCGTTGCTAGAGCGAAGTCGCGCCTGATGTTTGAGACGAATGGTTACAGGTGAAGCACGCAACTTCGACATTTTGCTTACAAATATATGCCTTGTAATGACTCGGACTTACAATTATTCATTCCCGTCATGATGACTGTGCAAGTCTTCTATTTGTGCTTTTTTATTATGATTGTTTTTCTATTTGTTTTGTCAGGAAATTTTAGTTCGCTAGAGACATGTGCCACATTTCTCGACCCACTGCTCTAGTACACTTGACCCACATATCGTGCCAGCTTGTGGCGCATTTGGCAACATTGCAAAGAGCTGCCAAATGTTTCCATACTACTAAGCTCAGCAACATTTTCTGCTACTATCCCAATAAATTTCATTTTGATAAGGAACAGCTAATTTTTGTTGTTGTACTTGGAGTAAATGAATGATATATATTTTTTTATCATTCCTTTTTTGCGTTCTAATATAATATTGCATGTCGAATTATTCTCAATCATTACTTGTTTTGAAGTTCTTCGTTCAACGAACGAAAACTTTTGGAACTTGATTATTGGCAACAGCACAAGGGCCAAATCATTATCATTCCTTTTCATTGAAGAAGACAATGAATTTATACATGACACTTTGCACTGCCGAGCAGAGATAGTGAGATACTGACTAGGGCGAACAATGCAATTAAATGATGGCCTATCCAGAGATTCTAATTTGAGTGCTTAGATTCAGGTCACATTATCACGGGATGAGCGAATTCATTCGAGTATAAATGCCAACGTTTCTTCAGGTTGCAAAGATCGATACTGAGTAGCAGGAATTGCATTTTTTGTGTTCAATTTTTAGCACATTTTCTCATTTATGAATAAAATCCACTATTGTGATCGCCATGTCCGTCCGTCTGTTCGTCCGTCTGTCCGTCCGTCCGTGACTTCACGTTTTCGTCGACGAGATAATGCGCTCTCTGTCACTCACTGCAGTGAGTAGGTATATTGAGTTATATTTTTTATGTTAATTGTAACTGAGCGTTCCCGTGCTCAAGACACGAACAAAACTATTTGATCTCTTCGATTCTAATTAAACGAGCAAATTACTACTGGTTGTATTGCGCGGAACTTATTTCTCTCCAGCTTTTGAGTAGTATTGTTATTGAGGTAGGTAATCAAGTAGCATCTCTTAAAAATTTTTGAATACAGGATAAGCAAACATTGTTCGGAAGCTGGCTTACCCAACTCCGTGCCACTTTATATTATGTATTCAAACATCAATTCTATTAGATTAATTTCTTCTTCTATTGTGTTTCTGTGGTATAAATATAGTTGGTTACAATGCAATACTATTTATCGCGTGGCCTTGATGCATATATTACTTGGTAAGGATGGCATGTACTCGCAATATGCAATATCAAACACAATAAATTAATGGTGTGACTATGTATATCTCGTGGGACATGTGATAGGAATGCGCGTCGACAACGTGGATTATGGGCAACTATTGCTCTCTTGTGCACATAAGTCGTAGTAAACGACTAGATTGTCAAGCTTAAACGCAAGTGACGATTTTGACGAATTTTGTATGCCTAGTTGCTGCTAATTGATATTGTGAATTAATTGTGCAGTGGAGAGTTGCGTGCAAGCAGGGGCAAGTTGGTATCAATGAATCGTATCATTGGCCTCATATTAGCCTTGCTTATAATTATTTGAATGGAGAAGTAAAATTTACGTTTTTTTCACTGTTACGTGCTCATATTTAGTTATTTTTACTATTGAGTATTTTAGATATCAACGCACGATTTTTTTCACTGTCACGAGCTCATATTTAGTTATTTTTATCATTTAGTATTTTAGATACGTATAAACCTTCCTCAGTAGAATATAGAAAAATAACTTTTCATGTTTTCGTTATTTTACGTGATTTATGAAATCCGAGTTGCTCAAGATAATGGAATTTTTGATTTATAAAGAACGAAAAAATAAAATATAGATTAGGAAAACTTTTAACGTTGTGAATGTGGCATCAACGCTTCGATTGATTTTAATTAGGTAGGTATAGACTATTAGGCATTAAATAATTCATATTGCCCGCATACGTTGCGTATTATATTGCGTGGGAATCGCGTAACTACCGCGTATTACGTACGCCGCTTCCCACCGCCCACGTCTGTTCAGTAACAGCCAGAAAACAATTCTCCGCCAGGAACTAAAGAACTGTAATACAATACAATTCTCAACTGCCAGCGGCGAGAAAAATTTCAACAATTTCTATAGGGAAATGGAACTTGATTGCTAGAAATAAGTTGGCGGGTTTAGACTTCCGGCGGCGCGGGAACAGCGTGGGCGCGTGAGAGCTCCTGCTGAGATCGCGGTGTTTAAAGGTCAAGGTGGAGGGGCCGGCGACGCTCTTGCTTGTTCTCGCCACCATCCCGGACCTGAGCTTGCTCATTGCTGCTAGTTCTGCACCTATTCTGGAATATCTGAAATATTGGTCTTTTGGAAATGCTGTTTCAGCTTTTTGAGCTTGCTCATTGCTGCTAGTTCTGTCCCTATTCTGGAATATCCGAGATATTGGTCTTTTGAAAATGCTATATTCATCTTTTTGAGCTTGCACATTGCTGCTAGTTCTGTCCCTATTCTGGGATATCCGAAATATTGGTCTTTTGGAAATGCTATTTTCAGCTTTTTGAGCTTGCTCATTGCTGCTAGTTCTGTCCGTATTCTGGAATATCCGGAATATTTTCTTTTGAAAATGCTATTTTCAGCTTTTTACGCTATTTTCTGGGTCTTGTTTTGTTTTCTAAGTCTAGTCATGTCTAACTTTCATAATTGTTCTTGTATATATTTTTAATTGATTAGGTATAGGTATAATCAAATAAATCTAATTATGGTTGTGGCTCATACTTGTTTATTCAGTCGATTAGGCGCAGCATCAGTTTCTTAAGTTCATTAGTTTATTCATTAAATTCATTCATGAAATCGTACCTGCAAGACTTACTGTTTCTTGTTATTTGGTATAAATAGAAAAAAATCATTTATCTGTTTGCCCCTGGTCATGATTTATAGTCTAGGAAATTACGTATTGCGTATTTGCCTTCTTCGTTTTCAGAAACAAATATCGCTCAGATCTTGAAAAAGACCTAAAAATGTAATTTTGATGCAAAGTTCCTTATCGTCAAAACTTCGGTCGGTAAAATTTTGAAGATATCAAAATTGATCGGCACGTAAACGCTCGTGATCGCCAATTAAATAGCGAGCTAGTTGAACAATTAATGCCTCGGGTAACTAAATTAAACTCTATATGCCAGGCACTTAGATCCCCGGTTATAACTCAGTGTCTCCATGTGTCTATTAGGCTCATTGCCCAACAGTTGGCGTTTTTATTCGTCTTGCCTCTAGCAACGTCTAGTCTGTGCGTCTGGTTCCATGACGTCTTATAGGTGCGTTAGTAACTAGTCACAGGTTGATACCTCACTGCACGGTACGTAGCGTCCGCTGTCGAAACGATCTTGTCGAATAATATAGCATCGAAATTATCTTTTCTTCCTGGAAATTTGTATTTCGGAAAATTAGTTATAAGTGCGATTGTATTGCATGGAATTAAGCATGAGCAAAATGAGAAATTCCTATTAAAACTCGTAACTAAAACTCGTAGTAACTAACTCAATTATTTTAATGTTGTATGATTGCTCTCACGAAGACTGAAGTCTTATGAACCCCCGAGCCCGAGTGATAGCATTGCAAGACAGACATGAAAAATACTAACTTTGCAAACAGCAAGTTAACTCTTTGCATTGATACTCCAAAGATTGAGCCGGTGTAGCTTGGATGAATCGCCGCTTAACCTGTGAAGCACTTGCTCCGAATTGAGAATATTTTGCAAGGCTGCCATTTCGATTTACTAAAACCGTAACGTCATAAAACGTTCATAACCATAGTGTATGTTGTACATTAAAATTTGTTTGCAAGTATTGAGGTAGGCAAAGGTATGTATGTATATTAGCTCATATAGAACACAGAATGCAGACGGGTGCATGCATGGTTTGCTGCTGGCTTTCTGCCGCGGCCAAGGGGTATTGTCGATGTTGAGCTATAATTGGTGCTCATTCTCTATTTGAGTTGAGTTGACTGACACCGCTTGCAAAGTAGGTATATCTGAGCACATTAACCGCTCATAGAACTTTTCTAAATTAACCGCTCATAGAAGTTTTATAACAAATCAAAACGCAGACATTTCTAGTAGAGAATAAATCTATGAGAGGTCTACGAGTTGACTGGCTGTTCGTGTTAATATGTGTCCATCACGCAGCGTTGAAGTGCTGCAATATCTGTGTGTGCGCAACTGACTGTGTGCAGCGGCTGCGCGGCATGCAGAGTAGAAATGTATATGTACGTTATGTTCCAGCATACTGTGTGTTATGTACGTGTTAGTACGTACATGTGTCTGCATACTGTCTGTTAGCTACATGTATGTATTGTACATATGTTCATGCTGCACGCCTGTGCGCTGTGACTGCTGTAGTCTGCAGTTAGGAAGCGTGCTCCACTCAAGGTTATGCTGCAGCCGCCAGTGCGATGCGTGGCGCCGTTGCTATCATCTACGCAGGTATACGCATATCTTATCCAGTTGATATTCTATGACAGACGTGGCTCTGAACAAATCAAATTAACCGCCAAACTTGC